TGTTTTAACTCCAAATCTCCTGTTCTGCATTTACAGTCCAACTTAAATGGACCACATCCTTTGACATTTTACAATATTGCAGGCTCTTAGCTCCATCTCATGCTCATCATCCACTTGCAGATTGTGTGATGCCAAGATCAATATTTTCACATTGGCTGCATACATAAAAGTTTATTCTAAATGTTCAGTGCATTGATATAAAATATTTAAGCTTTTCCTTTCACACTTTTGTCTTCCTGTTTTATTTTTTTAAATATATTTGGATCTCTTTTGTTGCCCTGAATTATCAACTCTTGCTTGTCACAAAATATTTCCCTCCCCCACCACACACACATTTATTTGGCACATATTTGGTTTCATTGTTATGGTTTGTCCAATTCAGCTGATTAGCAACAAAGTGGTGTTGATAGAATCATAGAAAGTTTGCAGCATAGAAAGAGGTCATTCAGTCTTGCTGACGCTGGTCTCCCTCACTGAAGTTATTTACTTCAGTTCTTTCCCATAGACTCAGATTAAACAGCAATTTGTGGTTAAATATTCCATTTCCAAACAACTCCTTGTGTATAAACTTTTGTTTGAACTTCCCTTTTCTTTTCTTCCAGTGATAATCCTAAATTTATACTCTCTTGTTACTTCCATGCTTAGAGAGGAAATATTAACTTCCAAGTCCTAGAGCTACACAAACATAATGTTGTGCACAGCAGATGTGCTACCCCTTCTTTGTTTGAGAGGCAAACTCCTCTCCTTCGATGGAAAGTGTAAATTGCTTCTCCTAATCTCCCTTCTAAAATATTCATGCTGTGTGTATTTTTTAAAAAGGCAGTTGCTTACCTTTACAGATCTACTACATGTCATACTGTGTAAGAAGCAGTGATTTTAGTTTAAAAACATGACCTATTTTGCAGAATGACGTTCCTTTAACCCACATCATTCTTATGCACCGGTTGTACTGCAGTAATCAATATCAGAACACTACCTGGTGTGAAATTGTGCAAGGCAATGCCACCAAATTATTATTGGCAACTCAGTATTGTTCTGCAGTGTTGAACACAGAGCACTGTGCATGCCAACTTGCACCTGAATGCCAGTTACATGTTGAATGTCAGTGAGAAGCTGATGGGGCTACTTGCTCTTCATTGCTATTTTTAAAAAGATTATGGTTCTCCAATTTACAATGTTGTCTCCGCACTAGGTGCGGTTATGTGAGGTCTAGTTTTAGTCAATACGTGATGACAGTCCCAGGTGAAGCAAAATGATGTGGCATACTTATTAGCACTAACAGAGGAACCAGTTTTGTCGCCATATCTGCCTGCTCTGCCTCTGAAGGCATCTATTTCCATTGGCTAAATAGTGGTGGTGGTGGTTGTGGTAGGAGATGGAAATTGTGTGACTGTACAGCATTACATTATAATAATCCCTTCATGTCATATAGCAGCTTATGACGTCAAAACATTTCAAAGTACTTTACAGTGTTTTCTATAAAATGTAGTAACTATCTATTATAGGACTTTCATTAATTTGGATTGATTCTATAAATTGACAGTTACACTGTTTTTGAGATGATTCCACACTTTGGATTTTGAGGATTTAGGGTTACTAGACGATGAGACATGGGTGGTGTTAAGCATCTTTTGGAGCATTGGAATGGATTGACTCGTAAACGTTACTATAAAGTTGCGACTATAAAGATGACCAGAGTGTGTGGAAGCAATCTTTTGGGTGGTTGACGAGTTGAGTGGAACAAACAATGGTCTCCTCCAGAGTAAAAATATTGAAGATGATTCCCGGTCTCTATTCCCTTGAGCTTAGAAGGTTGAGGGGTGATCTGAGTGAGGTTTTTAAAATAATAATGAGATTCGATAAAATAGATATAGAAAAACAATTTCCTCTAGTGGGGGAATCCAGAACAAATCATGAGGCAGTTTTTCACCCAAAAGGTAGTGGAAATCTGGAACTCTCTCCCCCAAAAGGTTGCGGATGCTGGATCCATTCACATTTTCAAGACTGAGGGGGATAGATGTTTGTTAGGTCAGGGTATCAAGGGAAATGTGTCCTTGTGGGTAACGGGATTTGAGGTACAGATCAGCCATGATCTTATAGAATGGTGGAACAGGATCGAGGAGCTGGATAGCCTACTCCTGTTTCTATTATAGAATTATACAGCACAGAAAGAGGCCATTCGGCCCATCGTGTTTGTGCCGGCTCTTTGAAAAGAGCTTCCAAATCAATCCCATTCCCCTGCTCTCTCCCCAAACCCTGAAAATTTGTCCTCCCCAAATAATTATCTACTTCTCTCTTAAAAGTTGTTATCAAATTGGCTTCCGCCACCCTTTCAGGCAATGCATTCCAGATCTGAACAACTCGCTTGTGAAAAAATTTCTCCTCACCTCCCTTCTGTTTCTTTTAACAACTATTTTAAATCAGTGTCCTTGGGTTACCGACCCACCCTCCAGTGGAAATAGTTTCTCCTTGTTCACCCTATCGAGTCCCCTCATAATTTTAAAAACTTTTATTAAGTCTCCTGTTAACCTTCTCTGCTCCAAGGAGAATAATTCTAGCTTCTCTAGCCTCTCCTCATAACTGATGTCCTCATTCCTGGTACCATCCTGGTACATCTGTTTTGCACCCTCTCCAGTGCCTTGACATCCTTCCTAAAGTGTGGTGCCCAGAACACAACAACAACAGCTTGGATTTATATAGCGCCCTCCACGTTGGACGGTGTCTCAGAGCACTTCACAGTAACGGATCCCGGGGCCGAGCCAGGGGGAGGGGGAGGAAGGTGACCAAAGGTGCGGTCGAAAAGAAAGGCCTTCAGCCGAGACCTGAAAATAGGAAGAGAGGGAGCGAGGTGAAGCGAGTGAGAAAGGGAGTTCCAGAGCCTCGGGGCATAGGGGCTGAAGGCATGGCCGCCGAGGATGGAGCGGAGGACTCGGACAAGGAGGAGGCCAGACCCGGAGGAACGAAGGCAACGGGCACTGTTTTGAGGAGAGAGGAGGTCAGGGAGGTAGGGGGGTGTGGAGGAGTCGAGGGATTTGAAGGCAAGGGTGAGGATCTTGAAATTGATCCTCTCTGGGATAGGCAGCCAGTGCAGTCTGACAAGGACTGGGGTGATCGGGGAGCGGAGTTTGGTGCGGATGAGATTGTGGGCGGCAGAGTTTTGAATATCTGGATTTTATGGATGGTAGTGGAGGGGAGGCCGGCGAGGAGGGCGTTAGAGTAGTACAGCCGAGAGGTGACAAAGGCATGGACCACGGATTCAGCGGCTTTCGAAGAGAGGTATTGGCGGAAACGGGCAATGAGTCGGAGGTGGAAGAAAGTGGTTCTGGTGAGGGATCAGATCTGGGGAAGGAAGGATAATTGGGGGTCGAACCTGACACCTAAGTTACGTACGGGTTCGGAGAGTTTTAGAGGGAGGTTGGGTAGGTGGAGGAGGTGAGAACCATGAGATTTTAGATGTTGACGAGAGCCAAAGAGTATGGCTGAAGGAAATTCACGCTCATCCAGCTCCTGAGGTCTGACAGACAGGCTGACAGAACATCAGGGGACTGGGGGTCGCAAAGAGAGGTGGAAAAATAGATTTAGGTGTTGTCCGCATACATGTGGAAGTGTACCCCATATCTGCGGATGACATCCCCAAGAGGGAGCATGTAGATCAGAAAGAGGAGGGGTCCAAGGATGGATCCTTGGGGTACCCCACAGGTAACCAGGTGAGAGTGGGAGGAGAAGCCGTTTGTGCAGATGTACTCTAGTACTCTAGCTGAGGCCTAATCCGTGTTTTATAAAGGTTTATCATAGCTTTCTGACTTTTGTATTCTATGCCCCTCTTTATAAAGCCTAGTATCACGTATGCTTTCTTAACAGCTTTATCGACCAGTTCTGCCACTTTCAAAGATTACTTATATTAACCCCAGGTCTCTCTGTTCCTTCACCCCTTTAAGATTCTACTATCAGCTTTTATTGCCTCTCCTCATTCTTCCTCTCAAAATGCATCACTTTGCATTTCTCCACATTAAACTTCATCTGCCATGTGTCTGCCCATTTTCCAGCCTGTTTATATCCTCTTGAGGTCTGCTACTATCCTCCTCACCATTTACTACATTTCCTAGCTTAATATCATCTGCAAACTTGGAAATTGTACTCCCTATCTCCAAGTCCAGGTAGTTTATATAGATCGAAAAGAGCAGTGGTCCCAATACCGACCCGTGGGGAGCACCACTGCACACTTCTCTCCAGTCAGAAAAACAACCGTTCACCACCACTCTCTGCTTTCTGCCTCCCAGCGAGTTCTGTATTATGCAGCGACTGTCCCTTTTAATACGGTGGGCTTTCATTTTGCTTCCACGTCTCTTATGTGGCACTTTATCAAACGCATTTTGAAAGTCCATATAAACTACATCCACTGCACTATCTTCATCCACCCTCTCCGTTACATCATCAAAAACCTCTATCGGGGTTGTTAAGACACGAGTTGCCTTTAACAAATCCGTGTTGGCTGTCCTTTATCAACCCCCGGATTGTTTCCGAAGCGAAAATGCATCCACTGCGTTTCTAGACATCTCTGCAGGTGTCAGTCAGGGCTGCAAAACCGGGAGTGAATAAAATGCTGAGTATTAACCTACCAGTAATAATCCCACACAGCCTTCCTCTCTCCCCCCACTCCCCACCCCCTCTCCTCCCTGTGCCCAGATATAGCCAATGTCCAATCGCACCAAAGCAACATATGTCTGGGACTGGGCGCAGGTCCCCCCCCGCGTCACGTGTCAGTCAGTCAGTCGCTCGCACTCGTGCGTGTGCTCGGCCGAGAGGGAGAGAGGGAGAGGGAGAGAGGAGGGAAGGAGAGAGGAGGGAAGGAGAGAGGAGGGAAGGAGAGAGAGGGAGGGAGAGAGGAGAGAGAGAGAGGAGCTGCTACACACACACACACACACAGGAGCAGCGACCATCTGAGCAGTCCCGGCTCAGTGACCAGAGGAGGGAAGGGGAAAGCTGCTGCTGCTGCTGCTGTTACCCCCCCGCGGGGCCGCGTGTGTGCGGCTCAGTCACAGCTCAGTTAAAGGACATCTGCTTCAGAAGGTGAGTGAGAGTGACAGGCAATGGATGGTCTGGTCTGCGCGTGTGGCAGTGGCAGTGGCAGCCCCCGGGGGTTACAATAATAATAATAATAATAATAATATTATTAATAATATTATTGGGGTCTGTGCTGCTCACCGTGTGTCGGTGTCGGTGTGGGAATGCACTGTGTGCCGTTGGCTTCAGGGTCAGCATTTGAACGTGTGTTGCCATCGCGTAAAATTGTGCGACTGCGTTTCTTTTCGTACTCTCCACGTTGAGTGGAGATGAAGTTAGCAATTTTTTTTTTTTGGTGGGGGGGTGAGTGTGTGGGGGGGGTGTGTGGGGTGTGTGGGGGGTGTGGTGTGTGTGTGTGGGGGGAGGGGATGGGGGGTTAACACCAGCTTTCCCCATGACTTCAGTTGGCTTTTTTTTTTGAAAAAGCTTTGCCATGGCAACACAACTGTAAGGTGGGAGACCCAAGTGACCTCGTTTCCAGAGGAAGAATTTTGGTCCCGAGCACAAGTTGTACCTTCATGCACTCCCGACGCCTCCTTTTTGACTCGTGGTTTCTGGGGCGGAATTACATCCCGAGGGGAATGACGTTTTCCTTTTTTTTTATAAAAAAAAATAAAAGTGGAATTAATGTAAATGTGATCACCCGACGACTCACGGTGACCACACAGAGCCTAATACTCATCCCTCCCCCCCCAAAAAAAGGAATAAATTGGTCATTTTCGACCCACGACTGTCTGCGGGACACTGCTGCGCGCAATTGGCTGCCGCGTTCGCCCACAAATATACCGTCAATTCACTTTGCAGTATATTCTGTGAAGCGCTTTGGGACGAACGCACTTTAAATGCCAATTTGGTTTAAATACCGTGAAATGGACATTCTGTGGGGTTTGACTGTCATTTAACCAATGGAATACTTTTATGAAACTCTTACTTTTTTAAAAAACGTGTTTGCTCATCCTTGAGCTTTCGGTAGAAATTTAGTAACGCACCGAATCCCCCCCCTGTAAATTGCAGTTTTAACTGGTCATACTTTAACGTGATTTCAATGCGCGGTTCGGACCTGAGACCACATTATGTTTTGTGGGATCTGATAATTGCATCGTTCAATTTTCCCAGATGAGTATATGTTGACTGAGACAATAGTTACTCTATCTGAGAGAACGTGTGTATCTGCATTAACTTTACCAATACTGTTCTGCAGAGAGATGGCAGGAGTGCTGAAATGTGACTGAAAGTGGTTACCTTGCCTGATACTACATCCGAGCATCTGAGCTAAATTGGCTCATCGTTGAGGTAAATATAAGTGTTTTTGTTGCCCACCCTTGGCATCTCATCCATGCTTTAGCATCTTGAGGTTAGATGTTTCTTAATAGTCTCATTGGCTTGTTAGTTTCACTCTCCATAATCTTCCATTCATCTCAAATTGTACCAAGCTCTGTACACCCATTTACCCCACACTCCCCCCATCCATCCTCATCAGGTCAACTGGTCACCAGTGCATCAGTAAATCAATTTCAAGATTATTTTCCTGACCTTCAAATCTCGTCATGATCTTGCAATTCCTCCCTCTGCTATCTCTTCCAGCCCTGTTCTCCTAAACATACCATCTGCTCTTCTGATTCTAGTTTACTTGCAGCTTGTTTTTCTCTCCCTGCTTGGACGCTCTCCCAAGGTCCTTTTATCTTGTGTTTTCTCTCTGTTCCTTAAACTCTTAAGTGTCTATTTCACTATGTATTTGGTCAAATCCCTTAAATGCTCCTCCTTTTCTCCCTGTTCAGTGATTCCTATACATTTGATATAATATATTTGATATATTAGATTGTAATACATATTCGCCTTGCGTGAAAGTCTCTATTTAACTTTTGTAAGAATCTGAATGCACAGCCCCCAGTTTGTGGTTTAGCATCCGATTTATTTTATTCGAATTATTTTTTTATTTGTATAATATCACTTTATGATGGAAAACAGCTTTGTAGTAGTGTGGGAGATGTCACTTTATTTTAAGATGATAATAATAATGGTGATTGCATTTGATATAGCACCTTATCACATCAGCTACAACCTGGGGCATTGTGGCTGGTCAGGGCTCCCGGTCTCCCACGCCCCAGTCACTGCATTGCTTTATTACTCCATTACTCTACCACTCCATCCCTTTATTATTCTATTACCCCACCACGTCATCATTCCATTCCTTGATTACTCTTATTAGTGTGAAACCCTGTAGCTTAGTGGTTAGAGCACTCGCCTCGCAAACGAGAGGACCTGGGTTCGATTCCTGGGCAAGGCGTAATGTTGGGCAAGTTTCCTTACTCCACACGCCTCTATTTACCTAGCAGTAAGTAAGAAACTCCTTGTTAGTCGATTCGTGGATTGCTTTCTGGGGTAATTATCCTTCAAAACAAAATAAATGAAAAAATGTGGTCACTCATTCCACGGCTGTTTGTGGGACACCGCTGTGCCCAATTGGTTCCCGTGTTTCTCCCATAAAATATAGTAACTACGCATTGCAGTATATTCTGTGAAGCGCTTTGAGATGTCTCAAAGATGTGATAAAGCGCTATATCAAATGCAAAGATTGTTGTTATTATTCTTGAGATGTCTTAAAGCGCTTCACAGAATATACTGTAAAGTAAATTGACTGTATATTTTGTGGGTGAAGATAATCGGGTGAAAAAGAGTACTAATTATGTGAATGTTTCAAGAATGTCTGTCTTGGCTAGAGCTGAGTCCAAAACCTGCTGAATTTTCTTGCTATCAGCAGCCACACCAAAGAAGGTGTCAAATATTGTTAACTGTGATTTTTCATTACGTATGAGTTACTGAGATTACCCATTGAGTATTTAACTAGGAAAAGTGGTTGAAGCCAGGACACTATCCTCTTTTCAGGAATTGATTTATACTGTTTTAGGAGTATTAAGATAAAATTCATTAGGAATTGGTATTCTGGAAGAAATGTGATTAATGGGCTGAAGAGTCTCTATCCAAACTTCTTTATGATCTTTCCTTGGTTTCAGACAAAAATGCTGTCTGATTTTCTGAGGATGCAGATTAAGATTTATTCTACTAGATAATTTCAGGCTGAAGGCTTTGGTTTCTTTTCCCATTGGTAAAATTACAGTTGATCTAATTCCAAATTTTAGGAGATTCATGAATTAAAATATTCAATATGAAATATGACTCCTACCTTAATAATGTCTCGGGGAACCAGGATTCCAAGGAGGCTTTTTAACATTGTAGTGATGTACCAGTTCGGAAGCTGAAAATAATGCTTTGCCAGGGTTTATACTACATCAGGGAGACATTATTAAACACAGTTTGTATGCACAAATAGTATGTACATGATCTCATTTGTGTGCTATTAAAACATTCTTTAACATTATGTTGCTATTGGTTGTGCCATCATCAGAATCAGGCTTTTTTTTAACCTCAGGAGCATTGAATTCAGATTGACTGCAAGGTACGAATACCTTCTTTTATATTAGATATTGGAGTCCTGCATGAAAAGAGTTGGGCAATATTAATTCCATTCTTAGTGCATGCGAACGGACGACAGTGCAACATGTCTCATGTTAGTCCACTCAATCAGAATGCTTGGAGTAAAGCTGCTGCGAATAATATAAAAATCCATCACCTCAATTGGCTTATGAGGCTGAGATGAATGTGCATTATTAGGTAAATTAGAGAGTTTTGTTATTTATTTGTGCTATACTTGCCCCAGCAGTACTTGATGCCAGTAAGTACCCAGAATTCAAATGTATGAATTTCTGAGCATTAACGTTCATCTTAATCACTTTGTATAAAGAAAAGTTTATGTCAGTTCTATTTATATCTTCCCAAAATTCTCTGCTTTTGCTTTTAGTGTCTGTACTTTCCTTATTTTTGTGTCATGGAATAGATATCAATGTTTTTTACATGACCATTTGATGTATTGTTAAGTGAAAAGGAAAGCAGTCAAGGAACTTACTCAAAGAGGATTTTTGTTGAAAAACTTCTGTTTGGGAAAAATAGGTAACAAAGGAATTGTGGAGGAACAGCAGAAGCTCTTGATCATAGAATGGTCAGCGCCTTGGGACATCCTCCTGACGTGAAAGTTGCTTAGTCGTAATTTTGGCCTTGTTGTTGAATCCCACACTTCAAAATGTTAACATGTGACGACAAGGGACCATGCCCAAATTAACTATTAGGGAAAAAAATTATTGAACAGAAATTTAGATCAGCAATGGAATATGTGGAAAGGATGTAAATCTAGTGTATTCTAGGAAGGAAAATGGGATGTATTAAAGGCTTGGATTCCATAAACAGATAGGATAATAATAATAATCTTTGCATTTAATTGGATGAAATTTGAACCTTAAAATCATTTAGCATTTAAAAGACAGACAATGAAAACGAAAGCCAGGACAAATCTAAAAATGTTATAAAGAGGCATTAGGAAGGTGATGGAGTACAAGAGAAAATGTACAACCCACAATTCCCATTCAAGTCAATAACCCTATAAGAACAAAAGGGGGGATTTCAGCCAAGTGTGTTTGTTCTGCGTATCCATTCAATCATGGCAGATCTTTCCCCCTGCACATTAGCATTACTTCCCAAGTATCTACGTAGCTTTTAAACATCTCAGTTGATCTCCTGCTGTGATATTCTGGGGCAACTCGTTCCACATTTTCACTACCAACTGTGTGAAGAACTGTTTTCTGATCTCACTTCTAGTTCATACTTCAAGATAATTACATTTTGTTTTGGTTCCTTCTCTACTAGAAAGTAGAGTTGTCCACTCTTTAACCCGTCATCTTATTTCATTGATTTTAACACCTCACTTAGATCACCACTTAAGTTCCGCATTTCTAAGGGTACAGAATGACGCTTGAGATGTAACCAAAGAACCTCCCAAAAATGTATGTACGGTAAACATGTGCGCGTGTGATGCACATCGGGGTGCCTTCCCAAAGCGGCAAGTGTGCCTTATCAGGGTGTGTGCGAGCTCGCACATGGTTGTGGTGTACACAGGGGCGACTCCTGACTGTATTAAAGGGAGTGGCCCCCAAAAAATGTGCACAACCTATGTGTGGGAAAGGAACGTACCGTGAACAACGGAATGTGTTTTGTATTGGGAGAAAAGGAAAAGAATTGTGACTGAAGATTTTGTGTTGTTTTGGATTTCTGTTTGTACTAAATATTACATTTATAGAGAAATATATATTTTCAAAAAAAGAATCTCTAAGGAATATAACTCGAGTTTATCCAACCTATCATCATAAATAAGTCCTGCACCCCAAGTATTAATCTAGCAAATCATTGCTTGTTCCTATATATAATATATAGGGTGAAAAGCTGGGGCCATAGCTTTGATTCATGATTTACACCACTTGTATTCGCCCTCACGTTTAAAGCTCTCCATGGGCTTGCTCCTTGCTACCTCTGCGACCTCTTAACACCAGGCCAACCTTACTGCTCCCTCCGCTCGGCAGGCACCGGCCTGTTCCCTATCCCCTGCCCTGTCTGTTCCTTCTTCAGTGGTTGGGCCTTCAGCTTTTCTGCCCCCACCCTTTAGAACTCCAACCCCAAAACACTCTGCCTCGCCCGCTCCCTCGTGTGCTTCAAGGCCTGTCTCAAGGCTTTCCTCTTTGACGGTGCCTTCGGCCACACTCCCTTACCCTCCACCCCTCTTGATTCCAATCCCCAGCTCGGGTGCGAACCCTTGAATGCCTAGTGCTTTTGGACATCCTTCCAACATGAAAGATGCTACCTAAATGTAATTTGTTGTTGTCACAACCTGCAAATCAGAGAAACAGATTTTCTCACTGTCTCCTAACTTTCAACCAATTTCCAATTTATGTCATGCTATTGCCTTCAATTCCCAGTCCCTTAATTTTGACTAGTGATCTCTTACGAAATGTGTTTTGTAAATCTATATGTTGATGTATTGCAATCATTCACCCACAACTGATGTTACTCAGCTTTCATGAGCAAATCAGAAGAGAACAGTGAAACAGTAAAGGAATAGGGCTGTCAAGATGGAGAAATGTATACAATGGATAGTGAATGAATTTCAGAATTTTTTTTTTTAAAAAATGCCTCGGTTTTCATGGAAGAAATGAAGATTAGGAGTGTAAAAGTACTAGAGGCCAATGCAGAAAAGTTACTGGAGGCTATTATTCATAGTTTGAATTGCATTTGAATCCAAATCCTATACAATGAGAACTCGCTATGCTTTCCTGCGCCTCGTTCATCTTAGAATTTGTGAAAATAAATGAATGAAATCAAGCTGTTTAGGTTCAGCAATGCAGGTTGAA